GAGGAATAAATCCTTCTCCATTCTTTCCTGTGCTCACAGAACTTTGCTCCCTCTTCTCTTTGCCACCTTATCAGGTCGCATTCATAGATGTGAGTGTTATCTTATCTGCTTATTGAGCAAGGACTGCACCTCAGGCTTTTGACCATCCCAGGAGCTTATCATGGTCCCAGGGCCAGAACTCAACAAATATATAAGGCAGGAGGTGAGTAAAAAAAAAAAAAAACAAAACTGCAGAATGCCACCAGGTCCAGGGTTATATGGCAAAGCCAGGCTTGTGTTGGTGTGAGCATTGAAGCAATGATTTTTCCTGTTCCCAGCAGATCCCAGAATATTCACCACTTTAATTAATCCTATATCCTGTGACCTTCAACCTAGAGTCAAAGGATCAAAGCCATGAAGAAAACCATTTTGTCCACATGGAGGCCGCACAGTCACTTCCACAATCCTATCTGAGGTCCCCAGGTTTCTTACCCTAGGGTCCATTGGTAGCCAGACCCAACTTTTCCTTGCCTGAGAGCCAAACTCAAGAGGCTTCATGTCTCCTCCACCACCTTCTTCTGGGCTACAGAAGGCATTAATTTTAAGGTGATTTAAAAAACAATCATGTGTGGAGGTTCATCATAAATTGCTTGCCTCAAGCGCTGGAGTAAGTTTCAATCATTCACCGTATTCCTGAATAATGAAGCTTCCCCACCAAAACAGTGCTGTCATCCACCCAGATGGGCAACGCCTTTTCCTGTGGGTCCCCAGAAGTGTTGGACGGGCTCTAATGCTCCTTGGAGTTTATACTGGTTGGAGTGAGTGATTACTCCCAGGCCCACAGGGAGCACCAGCATCCCTGGCATCCACGGTCATATTAACTTTTCCGCAAGGGTTTTCTTTCCACCGCATTCCTACTTTTAAGAGCAGGCAGCCACAGCTGTGACAGTTTGCCACCCCTTTCCACTTGTTCCCAATAATGCCTCTTTAGTTACTTTGTGAAAAGATTCTCGGCTGAGATTTTTCTTGCTTTCTATCTTCTAAAGTGTTTATTACTAGAAGATTCAACTTTCAGATTCTCTGAAGAAAATTCCTAGGAAAGGTAAGAGGGAGAAGAAGACTGTAACTAAAATTAGCTTCTTTTTTGGCTCTGCAAAAGCGATTGCAGCGATGGCAATAGTCGGCGGTGATAACAAATGGCTTCAGAAATGAGCTTTTCACTGGAATTTGAAAGAGCTCTCCATGAATTCTGTTTTATAATTACTGCCTGATTCTAATGGGGCACTCTAAAGCTTGAGTGTCTCCCAGTTTCATTCCTCAGGTGAGCCTTCTGCTTAGCTGTGTCCAATTTGACACATCGGCACTAAACTCTCACCCTGCAGTTTATGGGCTGATGACTGTTTAATTACACCTGCCAGCCTTCAGAAATCTCAGTGATTAAGAATTGCAATGCTGTGTCCTATTAATCTGCCTGGATTCCTTTTCATCTTAAGAAGTTGAAGAATTTTTTTGTTAATTTTCAATATACTCAGGGGAACTTGGTAGTGAGTGTCAGAAGAAAATAGAGTTAACATGATGGTAATTGACCTCCCCAGGATAATTCTAAGTCAGTAGCAGTTGGGATAAGAATTGGGAGATTTGGGTGGCCTTTCTGTTTAGTTAAAATTAGCTTTGGCCATAAAATCTAAAGCATACTGTCATTATACAGGTTCGACTTGTCTTTGCTGTGTGTCTGCGTATATTCACAAACTACTTCACCCCCACAGTTAGTACTTTCCATCTCTAAAATGCAGACAGCAGGTTGGGTACAGTGGCTCATTCCTGTAATCCCAGCACTTTGGGAGGCCTAAGCAGGCAGACCATGTGAGGTGAGGATTTCAACACCAGCCTGGCCAACATGGTGAAACGCCCTCTCTACTAAAATACAAAAATTAGCCAAATGTGGTGTCGCGCTCCTGTAGTCCCAGCTACCTGGGAGGCTGAGGCAGGAGAATTGCTTGAACCCTGGAGGCGGCAGAGGTTGCAGTGAGCTGAGATTGCAGCCACTGCATTCCAGCCTAGATGATAAAGCAAGACTCCATCTCAAAAAAGAAAAAAAAAAAAAAAAGCAAAGAGCACAGGAGAGCTGGACCAAAGTTTGTCTACAAGTTTCCAATTAATCTTGGAGATCTTCATCTTTTCCAAACAACAGGACACACCAAGATTTACAGAAGAGTGGTGGCTAAGGAATGTAGAATTTAGAATTTTATAATTCATACTTTTCCTAAGAAAGTCGTTGTTATAGATAAGGTTGCATACTCCATTGACGTGGAAAGAAAAGGGGAAGGACGCCGGGCGCGGTGGCTCACGCCTGTAATCCCAGCACTTTGGGAGGCCAAGGCGGGTGGATCACGAGGTCAAGAGATCGAGACCATCCTGGTCAACATGGTGAAACCCCGTCTCTACTAAAAATACAAAACATTAGCTGGGCATGGTGGCGCGTGCCTGCAATCCCAGCTACTCAGGAGGCTGAGGCAGGAGAATTGCCTGAACCCAGGAGGCGGAGGTTGCGGTGAGCCGAGATCGTGCCATTGCACTCCAGCCTGGGTAACAAGAGCGAAACTCCATCTCAAAAAAAAAAAAAAAAAAAAAGAAAAGGGGAAGGAATGAGGAATAGCAATGATTCAGAGTCTAATTAATGTGGCCACCAATTTTTGTGTAATGAACAGTACATTTCTATTCTTTAACAAAATTGATAAGATTCTACGAAGTTCATTGTTTCTGAAGTTGGGAAATGGGAGGTGTCCCTGGGGGTAGGAAGGAGAAAAGTGATTATATAAATATATGCCTCCCCAAAATTGGTCAGGTGACATGCATCTGCGAACGGGGATAAGTATTAGGAGATGAGGAAATGGACACAAGTAAACGCTTTCTCCAAAAACAGAGAAACCAAACTAGTGGCCATAGGCAGAACTTGCTTCTAATGTCTGCACTCTGGACCTACGCATTAAATGTGATGCCAATCTGATCATCTAGGTAGCCAGAAGATAGTATGTATTTTGGGGAGACTATTCTATTTTTAATGCCTTGGAGGATTTCCAAAATTGTTCAGCTAAATGTAGGTTGTCCCTTTAATTACCTCTTTACCATCCCCACTGCATTACTCCCTCTGAATGATGACTTTGTGCATTTTTCACTTAAGGGTAATGAACTGCTCTCTTAATATAGTTCCATCATTCAACTTTGTTTCTAGGGAGTTTTTTTATAGACAATTTCTATTTTAATCAGAAATGAATGGGACTATTGCCTTTAAAGTGGACCATCTGTGGGTTTACCAGGAAGTTTATTAACTTTGATCTTTATTCAATTTAACTTTCTGCCAGAGCTTCCAGTAAAGTTCTTTCAAGCCTGCAGAAAGCACAGCTCAGAGCTCAGAGAGTGGGCTCTGTGGGAGAGGGAGGGGGACACCAGTTGGGAGGATGAGAGAAGGAAGTGTGTGGATAGAGAACGCAATCCCAGTCTCAGCCTGAGGTGGAAGTGGGGAGCTGGGAACATTCTTCTAGAAGAGCCTGGAGCAAGTCCTCAACTTGAGTCCAATTTGAGACTTTTTTTGGGCTAGGAAGGTATTTTTTTTTTTTTTTTTTTTTTTGAGACAGAGTCTCACTCCATCACCAGGCGCCAGGCTGGAGTGCAGTGGTGCGACCTCGGCTCACTGCAACCTCCGCCTCCCGGGTTCAAGCAATTCTCCTGCCTCAGCCTCCTGAGTAGCTGGGACTACAGGCATCTGCCACCACGCCCAGCTAATTTTTTTGTATTTTTAGTAGAGATGGGGTTTCACCATGTTGGCCAGCCTTGTGATCTGCCCGCCTCAGCCTCCCAAAGTGCTGGGATTACAGGCGTGAGCCACCACGCCCAGCCATTTTTTTTTCTATTTTTAAAGAGATGGGGTCTTGCTCTGTTGTCCAGGCTGGAGTACAGTGGCGCCCTCACAGCCAACTGGAGACTTGAACTCTTGGGCTCAAGTGATCCTCTCGTTTCAGCCTCCTGAGAAACTGGGACTACATGTGTGTACCACCATGCCCAGCTAATTTATTTTTATTTTATTTTATTTTTTATAGAGATGGGGGTCTCATTCTGTTGACCAGACTGGTCTTGAGCTCTTGGCCTCAAGTGACCCTCCCACCTCAGCCTCCCAAAATGCTGGGATTATAAGCATGAGTTACTGTGCCTGGCCTAGCAAGGTAATTTTAAACAGACACTGTCTTCCCAATGATACAGTCTCAAAAGCCCTGATGCCAGCCTGGGCTGAATGTGATGGGTGTGAGGACTGATCCAGGCACTACCCAGCTCTGTAACAAAACAGGGAGATAGGTGGGGAGCATCCACAATGCTGTGGATGAATTGGGCGGCAGGCAGAGGCTTCTGGCCTGCAGCTTATGCAGACCACCACACAGGCTCTGCTCTTACAGCTTCCAAATGACTTCTCTGGCCTTTGAAGTGGAGCAATTTAGGATGACTGCAGATCTTTCTCAGTTTAACAAATGCTTCCTGCCCTTGGTCCGGGGCCCTTACGCTTCCTGTCCTCTAATTCTGTCATCTCAGTCATCTACAGGAAGACAGGAAATCTAGGATATCAAAACTTCCCCAAGATCCTACTCTATTTCATTACTTTTTAAAAAAACAAACAAGCAAACAAACACAAACTTTACAGCTGGGCATGGTGGCTCATGCCTGTAATCCCAGCACTTTGGGAGGCCGATGGATCACCTGAGGTCAGGAGTTCGAAACCAGCCTGGCCAACATTGTGAAACCCTGTCTCTACTAAAAATACAAAAAATGAGCTGAGCATGGTGGTGCATGCCTGGAATCCCAGCTACTCGGGAGGCTGAGGTAGGAGAATTGACTGAACCTGGGAGGTGGAGGTTGTAGTGAGCTGAGATCATGCCATTGCACTCAGCCTGGGCGACAACAGTGAAATTCTGTCTCAAAACAAAACAAACTTTATTGAGGTAAGTGATTGATGGTAAATGGCAGAGATTTAGTGTAGGGTTTCATAAGTTTTGACATATGTGCCTACCCAGGACACCACCAACCTCACTCATGATAATGAACATTTCCTTCACCCCTCAAGTTTCATAGTTGCCCCTTTGTAAAACCTCCTTCTGTTTGCTCCACTTCCAGTCTGCTTTCTGTGACTGTAGATTACTCTGCACTGTGTAGGATTTTATGAAAATCAAATCATCTTTTCTCGTCTGATTCCTTTCACCCAGCATAAATATTTTGAGATTCATTCATGTCACGTCATTCCCTTTTACTCCTGAAGAGTAATCCACTGTATGGACCTATCACAATTTGTTAATGTGCTGAGGAATCATTCCTTCTGGTTTGTTTCATAAGATCATGAAGTGTTAGATTTGTAAGGGGAGTTATAAATCAGTTACTCTAAGAAAATCATCAGTCATCTGTAGTTATCTATCTTCAGATTAGATAAGTGAGCCAGAACACCACTTAAGAATTTCGTTGGGGCTGGGTGTGGTGACTCACACCTGTAATCCCAGCATTTTGGGAGGTCAAGGTGGGCGGATCACAAGGTCAGGAGATTGTGACCATCCTGGTCAACATGGTGAAATCCTGTCTCTACTAAAAATATAAAAATTCGTGTGCCTGTAATCCCAGCTACTTGGGAGGCTGAGGCAGGAGAATCACTGAAACCGGGGAGCTGGAGATTGCAGTGAACTGAGATTGTGCCACTGCACTTCAACCTAGCAACACAGCGTGACTCTATCTCAAAAAAAAAAAAAAAAATATTTCCTTGGAAATTGTTTAGAATTCAGATTTATCTCTCTTCCTGACATTTACTTCCAATGATGGAGTGAACTCTGAGACTCTGTACTTTTTGCAACAGCCTATGGTTATTTGAATCCAGACATATGGTCTATACTTAAAACACTAAATTATTTAAATATTGAGGTTCTAGAAGGTTAGGAGCAAAGGCTGGATTTAAATGCACAATTTTTGACTTCTAAGTTTAGGGCTCTGTCTACTACATGATGTCAACACCAAATAGCATAAGCCACATGGAGGCCGGATGCTGTCTGCTAGCATAAATATCTGCCTTCTCGTCAAAGAAATGCCACAGCTCGATTCTGAGCTACTTTCATGTGTTGCCAGAAGAGGGCACTGATAACAAATCCTTTCTTTTATGCAGGGTTTTCTTTTTCTTTCTCTCTCTCCCCTCCGCCTCTCTCCTCCCCCCTTTCTTCCTCCACTTGTTTTTGTTTTGTTTTGTGATTTTTTTTTTTTTTTGGTTATCAAGGTTGCAAATATGAAAAGCAACAAAGTGGGACAACAAAGGTGTGGAGAAATTATTTTACTTTGATAAGTAGCCAAACCCCCGGAGAAATTTCTTGACTTCATGACATTTTTAATACAACCTTGCCTGTAAGTGCTGTCACTGACTGGCTTCCAGTCTCTAATTTTGTGAGTCAGCACTTTCTCTCAGTGACTTCCTCAAAATTATAGCAATAGGAGGGGCTGGACGGAACACGCAGAGGTGAGAATGCTGAAAATTTAACCAGAGTTGAAGAAACGTTTGCCTTTAGGAAAAACAGTGACAAAAAATGTCATCTAGTTATCTTACTCTCTATTTCTTTCCCTTGGGTGTTTAGGGAGGAAGCCATGAGCCTAACTTGGTATATATTTTTTTCCCTTCAGTTATTATAATTCCGGTGAACCTTAGGCTGCCTTCCTCCAAATTCTGAAAATTTGAACTCAGGCAGTAGGGCCGGAACCACGAGTTGATACCTGGTGGCTGAGAATGTTGCTTCTAAGCAAGGATATCGTAATTGTGAAAAACCAAGCAGTAACATATCAGATGAAAGAAGAAAGGGGCATGAGTCCGACTCAAGCTGTCAGAAAAATTTAATTCATCTTCGATAGTTTTGGCATTTTCCTAAAAATACTTTTATGACAAATTTGGTAATTCAAATGTGCTTGCTACCTCTGAAGCCCTAGAATGAAAGTGAGCTTTTGCCTCAATGAGATGAAATAAGACAAGGCTTTGAGAATTCAATTAACCCCACCCTCCCCCAACCCTAGGTAGAATTGTGAGAAGGCACACTGTGTCCCCAGACCCCTCAGACTCACTTTTGCAACCTTTTCTTTCCCCACTCTTACCAACTGTGGGGGATCCACTGCTTTCCTCACTGGGTCCTTAGTGTGAGTTACACAGAGTCTTACTAGCCAGTGCTGTCTACATTTGCATTTGAACATGAATTGTGGCATGACAGGCTTTGTCTTTGATTCACAAGGCTTGGTAATAAGACAGAAGATTGGTAATAAGAAGTGCTAATCTGTGCTCATTTACTTATCACTTGTGGGCCTTTAAGGCAAGTCATTTTACCTTTATGAGTCTATTTCCTCATGTGTTAAATAGTAATGATGATAGTAATATGCACATTTGTGAATGGCTGTAGGGATTAGAGATTATATATATAAAGTGCCTGGTCTATACATTGCAGTTAAGGCATGTTGGACATGTGGGTGTCAGGCATGAAGACGATGGAAAGTTTTGGACTTCTCCGATTGATGGGAGGACTTTTCTAGGACAGCTGAAACTGGCTTATAAGAATGGAGACTTGGGAGGATGGGAAAGTTAAATATTGGTCTCAAGTTTTTTTGCTTTTGCTATTGTTACCACTTGTCACTGTCTCCACGTTAAAATGCCAAAAATGAAAAAAAAAAAAAAAAGAATGGAGGGGAGAGTGGTAGCTGCCTACACAATTAGGGTGGGCCTATGTGTTTTGCCCTAATGCCTCTTGTCTACCTAATTTGTCTACGTGTCCATTGTATTTGAAACACAGTTCTAGAATATATACATATACAGAATGACAAATGATTTCCACAGGTTTGACAAGGAAACTAATCTCATTACTTTATGGTCACACTTCTGTGACAACGCAATTTTATTTTGCCAAAATATAGTCTATGTTTATGCACATATACATGCCCCTTGATGGCCTATTTCTATACCCACCCAAATTATATATAATAAAAACTGTCCTTTTCACAATGTAGTTTGTTATTTCTTGCACTTCTTAATGGCAGAAGCATTCATTGTGATTTCTGTTCTCAGGTAATGAGAAGCTGTGATGGACGTAACAGCAGAGGCTTCGAGTGGGAAGTTCTCCCAGATTTTCTCACTGCCTCTCTCCAAATTCGATATGCTGTAATGTTTTCAGTCTTATTATTACAGTTTCAGAGTGGAGATGGATCATATTGAGAAGGAAGAGCTAAAGTACTAGACTCTAAAAATGTGTAAACAGCCATCAAGGGAAATTCTGAAGGGTCCTAATGCTGGGGAAGGTTTAAGGAGTTTATTCTTGGCATCATTGCCTATAATCTATAATTAGCAACCCACTGATATGGTATTTGTTAAATTCCTACATTATACGTAAGGACTATTGAAATTGCACTTTGCCAGTGGGAAAACAGACTACAATATTCACACTAGCATAGATTTCAGTTTCTGGGAGTGGATAGTTTGCCTGAAGCCAGATAGTTCTTAGGAATCAATAATCTCATTAGCCGCAGGGGACTGGATCTCTATACTTTGTAGAGTGGGTACAGTTGCTAGAACATCTGCCCATGGGCAGCTGCCTTAGTGGAAAGAGAATTTTTTTTTTTTTTTTGCAGTCATTAAAGCTCAGAATAATTCAAAAACATTCCTCCAGGTACTGAACAGCTATTTATCAATCTTACAGATGGAATTATTGCTGTCTCTGCCCGGAAGCTTTTGTTGACGTCTCCTTCCAATCAGTCAGCTCAGGGTTTAATCTGGTTAATCCCACAGTGCAGTGGCATTCTTTTTCTGCCATAGCTTTTCCTGAGTCCAAGGGGAAGGAAGAAATATTTAGATTCTTCAGAGGTCTGTGTTTTTCAGCACACTGCTGCAGTATGAGAAATATGTGGCAAAATGAAGCAACTTGTTTTCCTTCTTCAAGGGTAAATGAGACATAGCTGCAGTTTTTCAAACCCTGGAAAATGTAACTATGTATGTTTCTGCTGCATGGCATTACTGGCTGTCAGGTGTGGAGCAGGTTAGTTTGATGATAATAATGAAATATGTCATTATTTCCCCATTTCTAGAAGTGCTCAGTGTGAACAGAGAGTGGATCCAAAGCATAGAGTATTTACGACCAGGACCTAATAAAACTCAGATCAGAAGGTTGTCTTGGCTCTACCTATCAACTTCTTTTCTATCAATTAACATATGTGTGGAATGTAATGGTAGTATGGGTTATATCAGCGGCAGAAAAGGATGGATAGGATATTACAAAGGATATTAAAAAGGTAGTCTTAGGAGGATTTGGTGACTGCGTTAGTTTCCTAGCACTGTCACAACAAATTACCCCAAACTTGGTGTCCTAAAACAACAGAAATTTATTCTTTCCCAGTTCTGGAGGCCAGAAGTCTGAAATCAAGGTGCCAGCAAAGCCACGCTCCTTTAAAGGACATGGCTGAGAATCCTTCCTCAAATCTTCACTTTCGCATGACTCTGAGTCTTCTTTGTCCTCTAGCTGAGTGACTCCAATCTTTGCCCATGTCTTTCTTCACATGGCCTTCTCCTTCTTCTCTGTCTTCTTTCCATGTGCAGTCTCCTTCTGCCTTTCTCTTATGAGGACACTTGTCACTGGATTGAGGGACTTTCCAGGTAATCCAGGATGATCTCATCTCAAGATCCTAGCTCAAGGACCCTTTTCCCAAATAAGGTTCAATTAACAAGTTTGGGATCAGGACATGGTTATGTCTTTTTGGAGGGTACCATTTAACTCACCACAGTGAGTTAAACATGAACATGTTTGTTTGATTAAGGAGTTCTAATAAGGATGAATCCCAAATCTCTGGCCAGGACAGATGGTAGCAAATACCTAGAAGAGAAAACATTTGAGGAAATGCTGCTTTTCTCATTGAGTTTTGACATTGAGTTTAAGGTGGGGGATAGAAGAAACAGAAACTCAACTTCACTGTTTTGTCTCATATTAACCCAGCCTTGAGATTTACAAAAATGCTGTCAATGTTTTTCAACTAGCACACATGCAAATAGAAAAAACTACAGTATGATTCCTGAGTTGGGCCTTAGATTATGCTACATCTTAAAATTTTACTTTCAGAATATTTTGAGATAAACAGTGTGATTTACGAACAAAAGTAATTTTTCCTTTGTATCCTAGCATCAGCTAGTTAGTATTTGAAGTATCCTGATCAGGAACACACACTTCAGGCATGATTGCCAAGCACTTCAAATATTGCCATGGAAATCTGCTCATAAGGACATCATAATTAGCATAAGAGATATAAAAATAATTTTTCACTAATGAAAAGATAGGTGTTCAACATACGTATTGACTCTCATCTCCCACCACTGCTGCATGAAAACTTATGAGAATCGGACAAGCCCTGCCACCCAATTCCAGTTCCTTCAGAGAAGCCCTCAGCGTACAGCTCATTAGTCCTGAGTCCCTTACTTCACAGAACACCACTGCCTGATCAGAATGTTGCCTCTTCTCATCATTAAACAGCACAGCCCTGGACACACACACACACACACACACACACACACACACACACACACACCTGATGCCCCTGAATGAGGGGAGACAGACTTTCTGGTGATTTATAACTGATACTAACTGCTACTTCAGAATTGGAGGACTGGCTGGGCACAGTAGCTCATGCCCATAATCCCAGCCCTTTGGGAAGCTGAGGCAGATGGATCTTCTGAAGTCAGGAGTTTGAGACCAGCCTGTCCAACATCGTGAAACCCTGTCTCTACTAAAAATACAAAAAAAAAAAAAAAAAAAAATAGCTGGCGTGGTGCTGGGCACCTGTAATCCCAAATACTAGGAAGGCTGAGGCAGGAGAATTGCTGGAACCCAGGATGTGGAGAGGCTGTAGTGAGCTGAGATCGTGCCATTGCACTGCAGCCTGGGCAACAAGAGTGAAACTCCATCTCAAAAAAACAAAACATAACAAAGCAAAATTGGAGGACTAAGGCAAAATTGTTATTTGATATTTGCTTCTACAAATAAATAGTATTCTTGATAATTCAAATAATATTATTGGAGAAATAATAATTTCAAAAATTAAATGTATTAAACCTGTGTGATTTGAGAGAGTTACAACAGTATTTCATGGGTTAAAAAACCACAAAAGGGATCAGTTCTAGTAATTTAATAGTGCTGCTGGTTCTGTATCTCATCAAGTCACCACTGGATTCACACTTCAGAAAGTGTCCATATTTTATTGCAAAAAATGAAGGGAATTTATTGAAGAGAGACCACAGAAGTATTGTAAGTGTATAATGAGAGTAAAATTCTCTAACTAAAACAATTAATGTTTTCAAGATTACAATTGGCATGTGGAAGAGAAAGTAGCTTTCATAAATGAGGAAAATGTGTTGGTTTTAGGGAAGAATACAAGCAAAGATTGTGAAACATTAGCAACCTATTTGTAACTTTTGGCTAAATCTGTTTTTCCCTCTATTGTTGGTAAAGGAATTAAAGACTAACCAGAAATAGAAAACATGCCAAAACATTTTATTGGTATTATCCTTCTAAATAAATATGTAGCCATGTTTATTTCCTGATAGTTTGGTTCCTGATAGAGTGACTTCTTTTCAGGTGGTATGGTGGCATGCACCTGTAGTCCTAGCTAATCAGGAGGCTGAGGCCAGAGGATTACTTGAACCCAGGAGTTTGAGGCTGCAGTTGCTAGGATCACACCACTGCACTGAGATACAGAGCAAGATCTTGTCTCAAATATGTATATTGAGACACACACACACACATGTAATAACTAAAAGGTAACCACTTAGGATTGAGATTCCTCTTCAAATAGCGTCAGTAAAGGTCACATAGCTGCCCAAGTCTGAGTTAGGTCCGACACTAAACAATAGAAGAGGCTCTTGGCCAGAAAATTTTACTCAAATGGAAAGAAGAAAGGAGGGAAGATAAGGAAATAGGGCAAAGGAAAGATAACAAAGCCAGTGAGAATATGCAATTCTTTTCTTGTAATCACGGACTCATAGAATCTTAGCAGCGGAGGTTTCATAGACGTCACCTAATTCCTGTTCCCTCAACTGTATTGTAGATAGCAGTCTCCGGGTTTACTTCTACTTAAGGCAGTATTTACAATTCACACTGCTCGAATTGTTAGAATGCTTTATCTCACACTGAGCAGAACTACCTTTCATAGATTTGATGGGTCCTGGTTCTGTCCTTGGGAAAACATGGAATAATTCTTCTCCCTCTTTGGCCTGACAGCCTTTCAAATGTTTGAAGACAGCTGCCATCTCCCTTCTGTGTTTTAAAATAAATGGATAATCAGGGACAGTTATAATCACCTGAGATTTGTATGACAGGGACATTCTGGGGAGTTTCACATTGTTCTATCCAGACAATCTAAGCGGAACAACCTGACAGCTACAGAAAAGTCCCCAGGATAGATTTATTGTCCTCATCTCAGTTTTCTGGCCAAAAGTCTTAAGAATATGAAATGCTAACACTATTTTGAGTACTTTGTTCTCAAGTAAAAGCTAAATTAAATCTCACGATCATGAATTGTGATACGATTTAAAAATGGTTGTTTTCATTCATTATTAGCCCAATTTTACATCCTTGGTTTTGTGATGTAAAAAGAATGAATTCAGTGCAACTAAAAGATCAACATGA